AATTTTATTTCGAGTAAAATACTTTTACAATGAAAAATGCACACTTTTCACGTCAACGGCTTATTACCAGCACAATTACTTTTTCTCTATAAAACAATAAATTGGATTTGATTAAAGTCAATAATTGTCTTTAATAAACACATCATAGATACCAGGAATGAAATTTTGTATATGCGTCAGACGCGCGTTTCGTCTACAAAAGACTTATCTGTGACGCTTCCATCAAAAAAGTTAAAACAAAATAACGATCGAAGTTGAAGGGCATTAGGGACTAAAAATTTCCTAAACGTTTTGCCAAATACAGCTAAAGTAACATATTTCTGAGATAGAAAAGCATTAGTATTTCAAAAATTCAAAGGTTTGTAAACAGTTAATTTATAATTATAACTATATCAATGATAATTCATTTCAACACTTTCTTGTTATATAACAATTATGTCAGTGTGCAAAACTGAATGACTCTCCGAACAATTTGATAATTAATATTATATAACATTTTATAACTTTCAAGTAACAGAAAAAGGTTAACTGCATAGATACAATTATTTGTGAGAACGCCAAGGAATAAAATGACTAAAAAATATTCCTCTCCGATATATATAATGCCTTTCATTAATGTTTGAAACATTAACTGCACTATGTTTTATAAAAATATAAGTAAGAAAATGCTTCCAAACATGGAAGATTCCAATTTTCCATTGACCTTTTAACGTTCTGGTTCTTCTTATTGAGGTCTCTTTTTGCCTTATACCTCCTTAACAATTATGGCAGTGTGCAAAACTGAATTACTCTCCGAACAATATAATGATTAATATTGTAGGAGTAATACCACCATTGTTTTTCCCGTATTAGTCTTTGTTAAATTGGTACTTTTCAAAACATTGTGCAGTATTTATCGTAGTTTCAAAAAAAGAAATACTTGGCATGAGTAAAGTCTTATCCTGTCCAGTACTACAGTAAAAATGTCACATTTCATTACATATAAGATAATTACTATCAATGGAAGTTACCCAACAAAATTTTAACCCTTTTTTTCCTGTTTACAAGCTTTAGTAACCATGTAACCTCAAGTTTCCAAAATATTTTATGGAAACACCAAATAAAACAAGAATGGTGCTTTGAAACACCTAAGATATATGTTCATTTCTCAGAATTTTTTTACTGCAATGAATTGTAGGATTAATTTCCTACAACTGTCAGATTCAAGGGAATATTTTTTGGACCCATTTTTTGTATGAAATCGGATGTTATGTACTATGACTTGATTGTATTACACTTTGTATTAAAATATATAAATTCTAAAAGACAGAAAATAAAGGTTAACTGCGTAGATACAATTAATTCTAAGAACACCAATGAATAAAATGACAAAAATGAATATTCCTCTCCGAAAATATCTTTTATTTATGTTTGAAACATTTACTGCACTATTTTTTTTTATAAAAAAAATAAGTACGAGAATGCTACCAAACATGCAAGGTTTCAACCTTTTTATTGACCTTTTAACGTTTTGGTTCTTATTATTGAGGTCTCTTTTTGACTGATAGCTCCTAAAGTATATTCACACTTTTGACTTTTAAATTCTTGAGATTTTAGTGTTCTTTGTTCAGGCAAATTCAGATAGGCATTCAGGCCGCACCAAATTTATTTATATACTAAGTCATTTGGTAGTTTCTTCTATGACTTTAACAAAATTCATCATAATAAAATATGATCATTTCGCTCACAAAAAAAAATGTTTTGATCAATTGTTGATTGTAAATAATTTTCAGTATAAAATTGAATAAATTATTTTGATTGATTTGTGGTGTCATGTATAATACATCATTCTCTATTAAGAAACGAGCAATATAAAAGGCTTCTTGAAACAAACATTCAGCACAAAACTGGACCATCGCACCGAATCAAGTAAGTTTCTTTAGTCTGTCATTGTAAAACTGACTGTACATTCTGTATAGCAACTGTAGTATTTAACTTTTTGTCGATTTTTAAAATTGAGAAAATTTTCCGTATATTATTTTAGACATATGGCAAGATACCACTTTTCGAATTGGTCCCTTTCACATCAATTATTCCCTAATTGTTAAACAATACAAAAGAAATCTGGAAGAAAAAGCATACAACCGCCAGCAATAAAAGATCTTATTTTTATTGAAATATGGTTTCGATGGAGTAATGATCTTACATCTTTTATCAAAACAATAAAGCTTGAAAATCATAAGTTACCAATGAACTTTGTGAATTAATATCCTTTGATGGATTAAAGACTATATACCTTTTTACTACGTAATGGTATTCAAACCATAATAATTATAGTATATTATAAAAATTACTTGCAGTACTTTATAGAATGCAAGGATATTGCTTTTGACTAAGCAAGTGAACTAGCACTATTTTTTTAAAAATATTTTGTCCCTTTTATATGCAGATGATTATGTTCTATTTAAGCAATTGCAATGTATTACAGCTGACTTTTTACTTTTTGATTTTATAACTTATCACATTTGTCGGATCTCACACATCCTTGGCTTTCAAATATTCGGCTTTGAGTGTTTCGAATGAATGTTGACCCAAAAAAGTGTTTCCAACGAAGAAAATACTACATAAGTGGCAACTAAATGTTAATTATCAATAGTAAAACAAAATGATAGATAGTGTCAAGTAGTTTGATTTCTAACAATACACTTATTATATTACTAAAAGTGATATAAAATGGTTAAAGAATTAAAATATAATTGTTTGCAAGAAGTAACCTTTTTTTTAAGCAAGTGACAATTTTCGTGAGAACACGATTGGTATTGCATGAAGTTTGAAAAACATACAGGTGAAAACACTTTGTCTGTTGATTTCCGTTTGACAGAAAAGGAATTGTGGTCTAAACGTCAATAAGACAGCAACCCATAAAAAACCCAAACAACATCTAGAAAGTTAAAGATGTGAAATTCTTTACGGTAGGCGGTTATGGTAGCCTTTTCCTCAAGTCCTCTACTCATATCAAAAACTTGGATATGTATGATTGATCGTTTCGAAGGTGTAAAATTTTCACATATGTGACCCGCAATGACATTTCCAGGCTTATGGAGTTAAAACGTCATTGTGAGAAAAACGTAGCTATTAACGTTACGTCAAATTATGTATGGGGACATACAAGTTTATTTCTATACTAAATGTAGAGTCTGGATGCTTTTAATAATCAAATATGAAATATCTTTTTAAGGTTTTCACTATAACATTAGAAATAATCGTATTATTCGGCAACATGAAGTTTGGTACTTTTCACATGTTTTACTTCTCTTTTTTAAAACGTGACATTTTACACAGAGTTATCTCCATGTAGTGTTATGTACCATCTTAATAATACCATAATACAATAATTTATTCAAAAATCTTTCTACTGCTTGTTTAAATTTACGATTTAATACTACACCATTTATGTGATATTTGTCGCTGGAGTATATAGGCAAACATAATCAGATTAATTAAATCAAAATTGATTCCAAATATAGTACTTCTATCACACATAACCGTTATGTCCAGGTTTTTATCATAAAAAGTGATAAATTTAGAAAATGTTTGTATTGTCCCGTATGGAATAATAAATACTACCATTTTCCGTATACTATGTGACAACAAGCACACATTAATATCGCAATTATCATTTCAAGAAATAAATGCAACCCCTGCAATTGTGTTTAATCTTTTGAAAATAAACATAAGATTTGGTAGAATTTGGTTCTTTGATATAACATTAAAAGGTATAATGGTGATTTAAGGACCTGTTCCTATTAATTGTATCATTGAAAAATATATGTGAATGACGGACATGTTCATTCGTTTGAATTAAAGGCTAACACGACTTCAGCAGTTCCGAAATATTTTGGTCCATTTCTTTTTTGAGTCGCATTTCAAGCATTAATTTATTATGAAAGTTGTAATTGTATATGTTCATATTATTCTTTTGCTTTTCAAAACCAATTACATACTTTACTCTCAATATATTCACCATATGTATAACATATCAACAGACAAAGAATAAGTGTACAGTTACAGTATACACATTATAATTTTCAAAGCTATAGTTTTTGAATAAAACAAAATGTCTTTTTTCCTTCTCTTAATGTCTCCATTTACTTATAAGGCTATACATTAGCATGCAATTGAACTGGTTCATTTATACAATAAAACCAAGTTGTTAGATATACTATGTTTAATGTCCAGTGGTAAATATTCCAAGGATATTGATTACAACAACTTGTAAATGATATTTAAAATCTGTTTGTGCTAGTCATATACGTTGAGTCGTAATTTTTTGTTCGCTTACTCACAAGTGTTTAATTGGTTAGGGCAAACATGATTAAATTAAAACATGGACATCAATGCACCGAATCCAAGAAATATACGGATATTATCAACAAAGTAGAAACAATTAAAGCCCAAATACGTTGTCCAATACGTGTGAAAAAAAATTTCTGCATATTTAGCAGTTTTGAAATATTTTTGATTGTTTAACGCGTTCAATTAAAGTTTATTTACAACTAAGTATACAATAATTTGGTATATGAACAATTTATCAAAACATCAGTACAGTTATGTACTCGAGCTTTACCAAAACAAAACTCAATAGTACATAAACTAACGAGTTAAATTGATCATAAGTACCATTTGTTTGAACAAAAAGCTACGGATTGGCACACGCATAACAGAAATTTGAACAAACAACTTAACTTCAGACTATTGTATTCGGGATTCAATTATTGAATAATACGTAATTTATAGTGTTCTCGACTTTATCAGAATGCAGATTTTAGTTGGTATACTCCTGGTCATCTGTACCGCAGTCAGCGCATCCTTTAAAGGAGGATATGGAATAGGATATGGAAGAGGTGGATACGGAGGTGGATACGGAGGATACGGTGGAGGATACGGAGGATATGGTGGATTCGGACTTGGATTCGGAGGATATGGTGGATTAGGCGGATACGGAGGATATGGTGGATTAGGTGGATACGGAGGATATGGTGGATTCGGTGGTGGATATGGTGGTTATGGAGGTGGATATGGCAAAGGAAAAGTTGTTATTGTAAAAGGTGGTTATGGTGGTTATGGTGGTTATGGCGGTTATGGTGGTTATGGTGGTGGATTTGGTGGATTTGGTGGATTTGGTGGGTACGGAGGTGGATATGGAGGTTATGGTGGTTATGGCGGTTACGGTGGTGGATTTGGTGGTTATGGAGGTGGATATGGCGGTTTCGGAGGTGGATATGGATATGGAAAGGGCAAAGGTAAGATAACGTCTGTTTTAAATGAATAATGACTATTATTTTCTGACTGAATTTTTATTGTCCAACGAATGGTTTACATTCATTTATTTGTTTGAGTACAGTAACTATATTGACATATTATTTTCTACTTTTTAACACGATACCCTATGATCAGATGCTATACAGGTAGCAAATCAAATAATCCTACCGCCTTTTGAAAGTAAGTTTTAAGAAATCAAATAAATTTGTTTCACGGTGTTAACATTCGATAGTAGCCTTATTATGAGCCCGGCATGATATATTATGAATTCCTTCCCAAGAAATCTTAAAACAATTGTTTTACAACAAAAATAAACGAATAAAACGAGACGTTCCGAATTACTGTACATCATGTTTTTAACTTATCATTGGTCAATATATTTTAGTACAGGAGAAACGTAAAATCTGAAATTATAAATCATTAGGTTATGTCCACTCGATCATTGAATTTTTATCTCGTCACTTGCTTTCATTTCGTATATGTTTTTTTCTCGTCAAAAAGGGCACTAAACTTTTCTATTTACCGATCTTCAAAAAAAAAAAAAAAAAAAAAATAATAATAAATAAATGTTATTAATATTTTGAATCCAGCTTAAAGTTGAAGTTTAAACGCTTTGAAATTGTGAGATGCAAGCAGCTTATTTAAATTAGAAGTATGTGTGATATTACTGTTATGTTCCTAATCATAATATTAGAATAATAATTAATTGTTACATATTTCTATTAATTATTCATATTTACACTAAATAAACATGTAATTTCTTTTACCAATTTAAAAAAAAATTCTAATTTGTTTCAAACTACCTTAAGGATGTTCGCTCCTCTTGTTTTTGAATTTTTGTCAGATATTCGGAGTCCTCTGGTTTTATCCATTTAGTACCCATTAAAAATTTTGCCCATTAAGCTCTACTTTTCTTTTCATAATTTTATTACATATAGTTTAAAAGCCATATTTGAAAATCTTATAAAAACCTTGTTATTTTTTACATAGTTTTTGAAAGAAAATGCTGCCAATGTTAATTTTATGAAAATTCTAGAGAGAATCATTTCCCGCCAAATTTTCAATGGCTTATATCTCAAAAACAAGCACATGGACCTATCATTTTTTGCTTCTTTTTAAGTTCCGTTATAAATATACTATCAATTCATAACAGTCTTTTAAAAAGCTTGTTATTTTGAAACAGAGTAGCGAACATCCTTAAGGTTTGCACGAAGTTCACAAACAATTTGTGAATATAGTGTTGTTTCATTAGGTGCTCGGAGCGTATAATTCTTTGGTTGCTTTTATATATTATATGGTTCTTTTTGTTATTCTACTGGGTGTAAAAATATTGACAAATGCCAATGTCGTATGAAGCGTGAAAGCAACCGTTTAATGTTTACACAACTCTTTTAAATCACTTAAAGACATACTCATGTATATAAATCGTTATGCTACAACTGTGAAAGTGCGAATTATATCAAGTCGTATGATTTCATTGTTTTAAAGTTGCCACGATCATGAGAAGTCATAGATTACTGGAATATTATTACTTTTAGAATGAATGGTCATTCAAAATTTATTACATGTACGGAATCGTATGAAATTTACATGACATCTAACTATACACAATTGAATATTTATCTCATGTATAATGTGAATCGACTTTCAGCAAAAAAACAATTACTATTGTAAATAGATTAATGAACTTAGGAAGGAAATGCGAGAAAAAAAAAGGAATGAAATAAACGTCAATAAGACAACAATGCGACATAAACAAAATTTGTATACATCAAAATACACGGAATAATGCAAAAATATAATTGTTAAAACAAATCTGATGAAAATAACTGAAATTAAAATTTGAGATATAAATACAGACAAACACCTCATAAAATGATAACTTCCCAAAGGCAAGGTCATGCTTTAACATATATTTATTTTGTTTTGTAGGATATTAAATGCAGAATCTCTTCAAAAACGGATAGCGAATAGTATTCTTTTTTACATTTCTGATATAAATTATAATCCATGCACTGAAAATGTGTTGAAGTTTTCTTTGAAAAATCTATAGTTTCTGCAAAGATTAAAGCCCCTACAATCAAGTCGAACGGAATATCAAGTCAACTAAGAAAACGTCATGTCAAAAATAACTTTTTGCAACGCTGGACACTACAATTCCTCATGCTCTTTTTCTTTGCATTTCACGTTTTAGGTTAAGGCAAATTTTACTTTGTGAATACCACACAGATTCACTCAACACACACCAAACCTGATATCATCAAAACGATGGATTTTTCGATCGTAGAAATATTTGTTGAGTTTGATGTTCGACCTTTAGAGTAAAAGTAAAGTCGCCCGATCTGTAATTTTACAGATTCATTTGGAACCTCTATTTCTGTGTAGTATCGCTGCAGCAGCGCCTGCTTGCATACAAACTATATACATTGTATTACCCAGTTAATACGATACTTCATGGCATGCGTTTGTAGATTGAGAGAAAATGCAAGATCTACCAGAAAGCTGACATTTAGTATTGCTAATAAAAGTCAGACTAGTAAGGTCCTATTGTTTAAAAAAGTGGCTTAAAACTACACCATAAAATTTGTAGTCAATGTACAATGTGGAATGTGTATCAGATAAAATTTCTAATTATACAAAACTCCTGGCTCCTTGATTTAAAACTAAATTGTCAATGCAATATCGAAAAAGTACTGGAACCTTCAAAATTGTAAATGCAATAACTGACAATTTTGTAATTTCGTATATTTTCTTTCAACACCAAGAGTGGCCTGTTATCAAGACCTATATATAATATTACTTTAGCATCTGAATAAACTAAGGCTGTGCGGTCGTTGATACAAATCAGAATAAAAAAAAAACTGAATGAGTCTATAAATACACATGCTATATCAATCTTCAAAGACCCAAAAGTTGTAAAGCACCTGTCCTACTTCTATAACAAATATATTGTTGTTCCCGCAGATAAAACCCCAAACAACATAGTTTTGGTTTGTAAATCACACTCCACAAAATGCTTAATATATGAATAAGGTATTGAAAATTCACTTGGAAACTCAACATATACCCCCACGACCAAGGAGGAAATTCTAGAATATCAACCATAGATGAAGATCTTCCCTTACTGTAGTGAATACCTAAATTAAATAAGTTTCCTTACAAACAACGTTATATTGCTGGGTTTTTCAAGTGCTCCACGAAACTTTATCAGCAATTAAAACTGGGCTTCAAAGTTACTGTGAAACTGCTTATTCTAGAGGCAGTGTGAATCGGATGAGGATGATACAAATATTTCACAGATCTTTTATAGTACATACAATTTTTCGTCTTGCATTAGTATTAAAACATTTGACTTTCTACCCTTTAGACAAGTAGTCCCTATTCTAAACTAAGAGACAAATTGAAAGAATTGGTCCTGCTTAGTTTTATAACAAATAATGGCCAAAGTAGATACATGTATCTTGTGTTAGGGAGGTATTAATCTTACTTTGTAAAAACTACTCTGATTCAAAAATTCTCTGAAACTGACATTGTCCAGATGCTTGATTTCTTGATTGGCAACATATTTATTGCGCTGTGAGAACGTGTTTTGCAAAAAAATAGGGTTGATTGAGAACAACACTTTACGAAAAAAAAGAGATGATTCCAGCTTCCCAATTGTGAACTTTCCATTTCTATATATCTCATTCTAGCAGTGCCTGCATATGGAGTATATATCTCCCATTCGATACGATATTCAAAGGCTTGCATTTCCTATCATGATTTCCTTGATAGGGTGTTGCTGCTCACAAGGACGTTTTGAATCAAGAGTTCCAAGTGGTGAAGTTAAAATAATCCGTTTTTAAATTTTACGGACGCAATCACGAGTTGGTTGACCGTTATGGAAAATCTGTTTCACAGATGACGACGGATATGTTCCAATTGTCGTTACAACAAACCCGTCCTCTTTCTCCCGAATGTGACATTCCAAAAAGTTAAATAACAAAAATACCTAACTCAAAGGAGAACTCGAAACGGAAAGTCCCTCATCAAATGGCAAAATCAAAAGCTCAAACACATCAAATGAATGGAAAACAACTGTCATATTCCTGACTTGGTACAGGCATTTCCTTATGTGAAAAATGGTGACGTAAACATGGTTTTATAGCTAGCTTAACCTCTCACTTTTATGACAGTCGCATATAATTCCATTATATTGACAACAATGAGTAGTGAACAAAGCAAACAGACATAATAGATAAAAATGTCAAAATTAGGGGTACAGCAGTCAACATTGTGTTATAATCTTAATCACTATATAAACTAATAAATAAGTCAACAAAGAAAAACAAAATGGCATATAGACAATGCACATAAGCAAAAATGAAAGACAAGAATACAAAAACATAACCACAGCACAAACACACAATGGTGGGATGCATAAGTACCGAGCCACGCTAAAAGGATATTAACAAAAATGAACTAAACAGTTAAGTATGATAATTTACAAAGACAAATAAAAGAACACTATAACATGAAATTAAGATCATACGCCAGTACTTAGAATCTATACTTCAAGACCATCATGTATAATTTGTGAAGTTGATATGATATATATTTATCAACAAGGTCTTAGTATCTTCCAATGAACTTTTTTTTTAGAAAAAAGACGAGTACGTTCTTTGACATAACCATAGTTCATCAACCGTCTGCTCAGACATTGGTGAAGTTTTATAAA